TGTGTGTGTGTGTGTGTGTGTGTGTGTGTGTGTGTGTGTGTGTGTGTGGTAATACCATTTGGCTGCTTGGGGGGTTCCCAAGAAACATGCAGGGTATGAGGTCCAGTAGCAGTGATTTGAGGAGGAGGTTGGTTTTGTGGAGGAGCAGCAGCTGTCAGAAAAGACAATGGTGGGCCACAAGAGCAACCCCCAGAAGAGCATGCCTGCAGATAATGTTAACAATTTATTATTTTAATCTTTAATATATGCTGAGTATGTATATAATATACTCAGTTGTTAAAAATGTTTATTCTTTGCTCAATTATGTGATTTAAACATTGCATCCTTTCCACACTCACCTCCAGTGTTGCAGTGTACTGAGTAAAGGGGCTCAGACTGCTAGCAACAGCCTCTGTAGATAAGCCAGTGTAGTGAATGACTGGCTCTGATTCATGAGATGACTCCATGGAGGATAACACAAACCTGAGGGAGACATAAAAAGAGTCATTTAGTTCTCTTTTTAAAATTTTCTGCCACTCACTATCACTCCACTTTGCCACAATAATATGTGATGTTATTCACTTAAAAGCTGTGGCTGGGGTGCCACAGGGGCTTCAGGAAAAGATCAAAATATGTCAGACTTCTGATTTTTTTTTCCAGAATTTGCGATTAGAAAAAAAGTTATAACTCAGGATTTTTCTTTCTTTTTTGTTTTGCTTTGTGGCCATCTTCTGTATGAGGTTGGCATGGTTTAAGATCACTTGTTTGCTTAATAGAGGATGTCACTGTAAAGCAGTCACAAGTGATCACCCTATTGTACTCTGGTCTTAAAGCTGTTTTTATTTTTATTTGAGTGCTCACCGCAACAATTTATGAAATGTTTGATAAATTAAAAAAGCTATACTAATTGCTACAATGGCCTTTGCATTCAAACATAATTTTAAAACATTAAGTTACTCCAGAGGAGTTCCAGAGACACATAATAAACATCAAGAAACACTGAAGCTGCTCTGGGGGCATTTTGCAGTGAATATTCTGACTATGACTATAACATTTTCTTTAGTCAATGCATCATTAAGACATTGTATCATACAATATATATTGTTACTTATATTATTGCAGTGACTCTTATGTTTGAGATTAGATTACAAGATTGACTGAAATCATTTCAGCTAAAAAACACCACTTAGATAATTCCCAAGTCAGAGATATAATGTAATTTAAAGTCAAACTCTGTCACCTTTCCTGACTCTCCCAGATCTACAGTAAACTGCCACTAAATCCTCGACCAAATGCATTCCCTTCCCTCAGCCCTTACCTCTCAACTGGGCCCGTGTCATTTCTTGGTGTGCTCCAGTTAAAGCTGGCACTGGTCGGTCCTGGCCGTCCCAGGAGGTTTAAACCAAGTTGATCTGTTGGAGGTGGTGCACCTAGAGTTTGGTATGAAGCTGAAGCACTTATTGTCTCACCAGCTACATTAGCTGTTATAAGCCAGTAAGAATAGTTGGTAAAAGGAAACAGTTCATGGTCTTCGAAGGATTCAGGGCCTTAAAGAGGGAAAAAAAGCATCTTGTGTTGGAGCAACATAAAACAAACTTGTATGTGGAAAAAAATAGCTTAATATTTAAATTTTAAGTGTGTACACACCAAATGGATAGTGACTATGGATGGTATGCACTGACTGTCCATCTCTGATGAGTGTGTAGTTGAGTTTATGAGAGTTTGGGGAGTCAGGTGGATTCCAAGAGAGATTGATGGAGGAGTAACTTAAAGCAAAACCTAATGGTGCAGGTTGCTGGGAGGGTGCTGCACAAACAAACACACAAAAAGAGTAAATCAGAGTCTTTCACAGTAGTTGAATTGAATCCAATTACACTTGAATAATTTAACAAAATAAACTCTTGTATAAATAAGTACCATATTTATTTGTGTATAATACGATCTCATGTATAATACGACCCCCCCTTTTTTGAGCTTAAAAAGCATTAAAAATTGAATCCTCAAACTATCTCCAATTTCATACAGACTTCAAGATTTTTCAGCCTTTGCAGTCTTTATACATATCAGTAAAATGATCATTGGACTGTTCATTTTATTTTAACAACATATGTACTAAAAGGTATTTAGACAACACATATACACTCACCGGCCACTTTATTAGGTACACCTGTCCAACTGCTCGTTAACACTTAATTACTAATCAGCCAATCACATGGCGGCAACTCAGTGCATTTAGGCATGTAGACATGGTCAAGACAATCTCCTGCAGTTCAAACCGAGCATCAGTATGGAGAAGAAAGGTGTTCCCTTTCAGTCAATTCACTCGGTACAACAT